TGGATTTTGCTGCGCCACCGCTTTCAGATGAAGAAGCAAAAGTATCTTGACTAATATCCATATCATCAGTAGTTTTTTCAGTAGATTTATGTTGCCTAAAAGACAAACGAGGTTGTTTTTTCTGTTGTTTTTGTTCAACTTGTTTTTCTTTATCTTTTCTTTTAGTTTTACGAGAACTTGCAGGTTGCCAATCCTGAATAATAGGATTGATATTGAAGACTGGTTTATGTATCGAGTCTTGAAGAGTTTGCTGTTGTCCTGGTTTGTTAACTTCTTTATCTTGTTGCTGTCTTGTACTTGACCGAGTGGCGTGAACCCTAAGTTGCGACCCTGACATCTCGAACAAGTTAAAACTTAATAAACTTACTCTTAAAATTGAACTTTTTCCTTTAAAAATTCCGCAGTAAAAATGGTCTTGAATACAAAGAAGAAGAAGTTTTTTTTTTATATTTTATGGTTGTGACAATCATATTCATGGCTGGCACAATGACCTTTAATGTTTTGGTGACATACAATTTTAGTTAAAGTATGATTATTCACTAATAAATTAAATTGGTTACACTACTTTAATTTCGGATGGAGATGGCTCTATATTTAGTAAAGTTTGTATCTGTTATCTATGGCAAGCCGTACTTGACAAAAGTGTGCCGCATTTTACGGCAGGTACGGCAGGTACAGCAGGTGTTGCGGCAGGTGCGGCAGGTGCGGCAGCAGGTACAGCAGGTACAGCAGCAGGTACGGCAGGTACAGCGGCAGGTGGCGCCTGATCGCGGCAGGTGTTGCGGCAGGTAGCACCTGATTGCGGCAGGTGTTTTTTTACAGCAGTTGTTTTTGGTAATAGACTATTTTTGGAAATTGGATTTTGGTCAAATTTATTTTTGAATTGTTGGTCCCATACCATTCTATTGGATTAATTATTAGTCTAATTTTTGATGCTACATATATAACACATAGAGTTGACCCAAAAGTATTAAATAAAGTGTTTTGGCATTTTTCTTGAAATTTTGTACGTAAAAATGCCAAAACTTTTTATATTCAAATTATTAAGAAAAAAAATTTCAAAAAAAAATGTTATGTTTAACGTTTTTATTTCTTTTAATGAAAAAATGTCAGGTTTGACTTTTTTTTTAATTAAAAAATTTTTTTTTTTATTTCTTTTTAATGAAAAAATGTCAGGTTCGATGTTTCTCAATTAAAAAAAATTTTTATTTTTTTTAATTGAAAAAAACGTCTGTTAATTTTTTTATTTTTTTTAATGAAGAAACATCTGTTTTGACATTTTTTTTCAATTAAAAAAATTTTTTTATTTTTTTTAATGAAGAAACGTCTGTTTTGACATTTTTTTCAATTAAAAAATTTTTATTATTTTTTTTAATGAAGAAACGTCTGTTTTGACGTTTTTTTCAATTAAAAAAATTTTTTTATTTTTTTTAATGAAGAAACATCTGTTTTGACATTTTTTTTTTCAATTAAAAAAATTTATTTATTTTTTTTTAATGAAGAAACGTCTGTTTTGATGTTTTATAATTAAAAAACTTTTTTCTTTTTCATTAAAAATGTTTGATTACGTTTGGTTCGATGTTTTAATTAAAAAAAAAACATTATTATTTTTTTTTAATGAAAAAATGTCTGGTTTGACGTTTGTTCAATAAAAAAAAGTTTTTTTTTTTTAATGAAAAAACGTCTGGTTTGATGTTTTTTAATTAAAAAAACTTTTTTTTTGTAAAAACTTCGAGTTCAACGTTTTTTAATTAAAAAACATTTTTTTTGTTTCTTTTAATGAAAAAACGTCTGGTTTGACTTTTTTTCAATTATAAAAATTTTTTTATTTCTTTTAATGAAAAAACGTCTGGTTTAACGTTTTTTTTACAGTATTTCTTTTAATGAAAAAAACGTCGAACAATAAAAATTAAAAAGACGTCAAGTTTGACGTTTATTATTTTTTTTTTGTTGCTTTTGATGAAAAAATGTCTGATTTGACGTTTTTTAAATTAAAAAAACTGTTTTTCTATTTCTTTTTTAAATGAAAAATGTCATTTGACGTTTAGTGGTGTAGACTTAGCTGTGTCATTTTTCAGTAGCATCACATTGTCATATGACACCATAAATAACCTTTGCCATATGGATTTTTAGGCTTTTAGATTTTACATAAACTTTTGACGTAATAACTTTTGAATTTTTTAGACTTTCATGTTATATAATAAACTTTTGATGTAACTACTTTTAAATTTAGTATACTTATTATAAATAATATAAACTTTATTTATTTATTTTTTTTATTTGAAAGCTGCTTTTAAGTTCAAAATTTAACAAATCGCCATACAACTACTACTATAATTGACACTATATACAGATCACACTATATAGTTAACGATATCAGGTGATCTTCATTTTAATAGTGATAGTCCTTGTAATTGGTTGTTATGCTAATCGTGCTATCCTGGAAAGGAAGGAAAATTTTACTAATTTGGTTAGCTCTTATGCGCTAAGTATAGGGTACGTTTTTATATTATTGATATTGATATTGATATTGATATTGAATTGAATTGATATTGAATTGATATTGATATTGATATTGATATTGAGTTGATATATTACGAACAATGGTCGTTTATATAAAAAAAAAAAAATTAATCATGATCTGCAGCATGATCCGAATTGGTTGATCAAAAATCAAGAGCTAACCATATATTGACATCAAGGAATTATGAATTGTCAATTTGGCTGGCCAAAAATCTGGGAGCTAACTACATATTAACATCAAGGAAATATTTATTATTCGTACAGTATACATGGTTTAGGAGGCTAATTTTTGGGATTAATTATAATAGGAATTGAAGGAAATTAAATATATAAAGCAAATAACATTCTTAAATGAACCTGATCAAATATAAAAAAAAAATATGTCTGAATTTTACATATATCCAAATTATATAAAAAATATATATATCCAAAAATATATATATATCTGAATTTTAATATATATACCCGAATTTATTAAATTTATTCATTAAAAAACATGTTTTTTACTTCAAGTCACCGGGGGTGATCATTACCGTTGACCAGAATTATCAATTTTTACCGGCACTATATTTTTTTAATGCTAGTCGATCGTCATAATTTCAGTTACCGGTGATCATCACCCCAGTGATAGTTAGAAAAATTCAAAAAACATTATACGAGTTTATTTATTAAAAAAAGCATTATACAAATTTAGTAATTAGTAAAAAACAAATTAAAATATTTTAGATGAAAAAAAAAATAAAATAAATTATTTATTTATTTCAAATTATATCTTATCAATACTTTTATTTCTGCAATTAAGTGTTAAAATTTATGGTATATATCATACTCTTAGAAAGGGCCGGTCACCGGCCCTAGGGTATGACTCTAGTTTTAGATCTACAAAATCTAATCTTTCAGGATGGAGAAAATGGATTGCGTGAAGAGCTTAATATACCCAACACTAATAAAGAAGTTATAAACATATGGAATTTAATCCTATTGGCATAGTTGATGATGTTTTAAATACTAGATTATAGTAAACCCTATAAAAAATCTGTATACAAAATGATATGTTTTGACATACGTTTTTATAGATTCCGTATAACAATTCCATATATTTAATACGTAATTCATTTTTAAATGTTTTTAAAAAAAGTTTAATGTATAAGAATGCATACGGAAATTAATATACACAGAATATATACGGAATTTTTAAACTTAATCCTTTTTAGATAATAATTTTATTGTCATTCCGTATCATAATATGTGATCACGTGATTGCTTATTGTTTTGTTGTGATACGTTTTTTGTACTGATTATACTGCTTTTGATCTTCCTTTCTTTCCTTTATTTTTCTTATTTTGTCACTTAAAAATTTATTTTTTTCTTTTTATTTCTAACTTCGTCACCCCCTTTAAAAAATTTTAAAAAATTGTTTTGATTTTATTTTTTCACTACCCTTTCTTTTTTTTTAAAAAAAAAAAAAAAAAATTCTTTTCATTTGTCTCCCTCTTATTTTCTAACTTTATTCATCGTCGTCCTTTCCTAACTTTATCACCCCTCTTTTTTTTAAAAAATTTTTTTTTTTATTTCCCTTTTTTAGGTTTTTTAAAATTCTTTTATTTTATTCTTTTTTTTTTGTCTTGTAGGTTGATATATGTTTTTTTGCCGGTTGAACAGGTCAGTTCTTCTTCATGGGTCAGTTCTTNATGACGATCAACCAGCATTAAAAAAATAGAGTGCCGGTAAAATTTGATAATTTTGGCCAACGGTGATGATCACCCCCGGTGATCTGAAGTAAAAACTAATGTAAAATTATAGTTTTTTTATATAATACCTGTCTCTTATACACATCTAGATGTGTATAAGAGACAGTTCCTAACTTTATCCCCCCTCTTTTTTTTAAAAAATTTTTTTTTTTATTTCCCTTTTTTAGGTTTTTTAAAATTCTTTTATTTTATTCTTTTTTTTTTGTCTTGTAGGTTGATATATGTTTTTTTGCCGGTTGAACAGGTCAGTTCTTCTTCATGGGTCAGTTCTTTTAACATGAGTCAATTTTTTTTATGTAGATAAATTCTTTTTACGTGGTTATTTCATTTTCATGGGTTGTTTCATTTTCGTGGGCTATTCTTTTCATTCTTTTCATGAGTCAATTCTTTTTACGTTGGTTGTTTCTTTTCGTGGGTCAATTCTTTTTCGTGGGTTAATTTTTTTTCATGGGTTGTTTCTTTTTGTAGATTGTTTCGTTGTTGTGGAATGCTTCAGGATTTTTTTCTTTATTGTAGGTCTTTCTGTTACAGGACTCCAAACCAACTCTTGGAGACTTGGATGATTACGGCTTCTAATTGAGTTAAAGAAATATTCTTATGTTTCTTTTTTTTTTGTTTTTTAGGTTGTTAGATTCTAGAAGACCGACTTGGATGAATCTAGACTTAATATAGGTAGATAGGAGAAGTGGTTTATCTACTAGGAAATTTAAAGTTTCATTTTGTTTTAGTTTACAATAGTTAGGAGGAACTTTTTATAATATAATTATATTTTATTTTAATTTAATAAATATTATCTTTTAAAATTAATTTTATAATGTAACTAGCAATAAATTTAAGTGGTAAATTTTGTGACCAAATTACATTACAAATCAGTCCTAATCATGTGAATTCCGTGTGAGTTCAGTTCCATGCAAATTCCGTATCCAAATTATCCAAATCGTATTTTTAGTGATACGAAATTGTTGCATTTTCCCGTATCTTTTCAACGGACTATTATGATATGTTATTTCTAAGGAAAAAATCGTATAAAAACATTATTAATACATGTATCATTATGAATTTATATCCTTCGTTTATATACTAGTATAAATAGTAAAATTGCATATAGAAAAATGTTAAATTATGCTGTTAATTAAAAGAAGCAGTAATTGTTATTATGGTATTTTTAATTATATATACAGTAAATAATAAAAAAGAATTTTTCTAACTATCACCGGGGGTGATGACTGAAAATATGACGATCAACCAGCATTAAAAAAATAGAGTGCCGGTAAAATTTGATAATTTTGGCCAACGGTGATGATCACCCCCGGTGATCTGAAGTAAAAAACTATAAAAAATATGCTAATTTATTTAATATTTTTATTTATATTAATTATTTAATTACTTTTTAATTACGTTATACGTCAAAATTGTGTGAAGTAACGTCCATTATGTTACGTCACTTGAGACAGCATTACTATCATTAAAAGAAAGAAACAAAAAAAAAATAAAAAATGTCGAACTCGAAGTTTTTCATTAAAAGAAATTAAAAAAAAAGTTTTTAATTAAAAAAACGTCAAACCAGGCGTTTTTTCATTAAATAAAAACAAAAAAACGTCGAACCTGACGTTTTTTCATCAAAAGAGATAAAAAAAGTTTTAAATTAAAAAAAGACAAACCAGACGTTTTTTTCATTAGAAAAATGTTTTTTTTTAGTTAAAAAATGTCAAACTGGACGTTTTTTTATTAGAAGAAATAAAAAAAAGTTTTTTCATTAAAAAAACGTCATACTAGACGTTTTTTTCATTAAAAGAAACAAAAAAACATTTTTTTAATTAAAAAACGTCAAATCCGACGTTTTTTCATTAAAAGAAATAAAAAAAAGTTTTTTAAATTGAAAAAAACGTCAAACCTGACGTTTTTTCATTAAAAGAAATAGAATGTTTTTTATTAAAAAACGTTAAACATGACGTTTTTTTTTGAAATTTTTTTTCTTAATAATTTGAATATAAAAAGTTTTGGCATTTTTACGTACAAAATTTCAAGAAAAAATGCCAAAACACTTTATTTAATACTTTCGGGTCAACTCTATGCGTTATGTACTATGTAGCATCTAAAATTAGACTAATAATTAATCCAGTAGAATGGTATAGGACCAGCAATTCAGAAAAAAATTTGACCTAACCATTTATGTTGAGAAAATTAAATTAATTTGGAAATGAATGTAAATCTATACTAAAAAGCTCAAAAATCCAATTTCCAAAAATAGCCTATTACCGAAAACAACTGCTGGAAAAAAACACCTGCCGCAATCAGGTGCTACCTGCCGCAACACCAGGCGCCACCTGCTGCCGTACCTGCCGTACCTGCTGCCGTACCTGCTGTACCTGCCGCTAAAAACAGGCTCTACCTGCCGTACCTGCTGCCGTACCTGCTGTACCTGCCGCTAAAAACAGGCTCTACCTGCCGCACCTGCCGCTGAAAACAGGCGCTACCTGCCGTGACACCTGCCGCGACACCTGCCGTACCTGCTGTAGCTGCCGTAAAATACGGCACACTTTTGTCAAGTACGGCTTGCCATAGTTATCCGTTAAAAAATTGACCGGATACAGAATTCTGGATATCCGGATAAATTAGCTGAATATCCGGATAAACGGATAACACAAAAATCGGATATCCGGATGGACGGATACAAACTCTAAATTTTATACATTGTTTACATTGTATTGAAATAATAATATGTGTGACGATCGGCATTTATGTTTTAGGAAAGGTTTTTACTAGAAAAAAAAATAAAAAAAAGGAAAAAAACAATAAAATAGACAAATCAAACGTTATATACATAATTATACATAAACGTTGTATACATAATTACACATGAAAATTTAATATTTAACGAACTCATTGGAAAGGTTTTTATTACCGTAAGAGGTTAAGTTTTTATTTTGTTCTTTCCCTCTTTCGTAACTTTAAGTTGCAAATTCATTAGATAAAAAAGCAAATAATCAATATGGTTAACATGCAAAATGAAGACAGAGAATTAATTAGTTATGGCAGAAGACTAAAGAAGATTCAAAATAAAATTGAACAATTAAATGAAAATTTAGGCAATTTGTCTGGACAGCAAGCTGATGTCAAAGCCCAAATTTTTAATAAAGAGGAAGAAATAAAGAACTTCAATCGCATTAAGCAAATGAGTAAGAATATTACAATTATAAGTAGTATATTGTCGCTTACAAGTTCTGCCATCAGTGGCGGTTTATCACTAGCTGATTATTCTCAAGAAGGAGGGTTTTTGTCATTAGCTGGGTCAGCTACAAGCGGCTTGTTCGCATTAGTTGGTTCAATTGTGGACAATTACTTTTCTAATAAAGAAATGGATGCACAAAAATCTAAAGTAGAATTAGAGAAGAAATTGGAGACGAGGTTAGAGGAAAAGTTTTATAGAGACCGGAGAAGTTTGAGAGAAAGTTGGATAGAATTAGTTGATATTTATGAAGATTTGTATTTACTTAGGCATATTTCCATGAATTTTCCTGTAGAGGTGGATGAGGCTCTTTCGAATTTTGTGGAAGCATTATCTGAAGTATCTAAAGTAAAAAAAAATGAAAAAACAAGTAATATATGTATAAATATAGCACCAGTTTCAATGACTAATGATCCAGCACCTAATACTAACGTTAAAGATAACACTGATAACATCATAAAAGATGAGGAATTGCTAGAAAAATGGAAAAAAAATGGTAATAACATTGCTGAAAAAATAAAGGAATTAGTAGAAAAAATAGGTGATTATCGTCAAAAGCTGATAAATCGGTTAAAGCCACAGCGTCAAAATCCTCCTTTGCCTTATCAATATATTCCTTTACAAACACAGCCTAATCAACATCCTTCTTTTCCTTTACCACAACCTTATCAATACTCTCCCTATTCTCCCTATGGAAAATAATTGTACAATTATACAAGTTTGTATGGAAACCATACAATTATTGCAAAATAGCCATAAGATTTTGATAGCATACGCGGTTAGAATTATTTGATTGGCTGTTGGGGTCATGTGTACATTCTGATGGCTCATCTGATCGGCCACTTAGATCAAATCATACTATAAATAATGATATTTTTTCGATATTTGTGTTTTTAAATATACCTTTTTCGGTCTTTTTAGATTAATTATATTTTTTTTCGGTCAAATTATTATTTTTTTTTAAAATAACAACTTTCACCAAATTATTGAAATAATAATAATATTCTTTTTTTTTAAGGCCAATTTTTTTTTAAAATACCTTTTTTTATCGGTTCTTATTGGCTGAAATTTTGATATTTTTTTCTTTTATTTTTTTTCAATTTTTTTTTCAAACTGAAAATTTTTATTTGTTTCAGTTTTTTAGTTAAAATAATTTTTTTTAATCCTTTTTTTTAATTTTTTCCGGTTCAAACCAAAAAAAAAATTTTTTTAATTAGTTTTTTTTTATTTTTAGGGTTTTTTTTATTATCATTTGTTTTGATTTTGTAATTTTTATTTATTTATTTATTTATTTACTTTATGTAAAAGCGGGAGAGCAAACAATATTAACAGTTTTTGTAGTTTTTTTTTTCTTATTTATTATTGAATTTGCACTGTTTATACACGTATTAAAAAATTGAAAAAAAAATTTTTTAATAAATAGGCATAAAAAAATTTCTGAGATTTTTTTAATAACTAGAATATGCAAGACTTCTTTCCAAACATAACATCTATAAATTCATGTCCCCTCCGTTTAGATTACCATCTGTATAAATAATTTGAATTGTGTAACGTGAAAATTCATGATGTGACTGATATACAATTTTTTTTTTGCAAAAAAAGTCTATTTTTTCACTAATCATCTCGGTTTAAAATTTTTTTGGTTTTTTCTTTAACGGTTAAACCGAGATTTTAAATTCTTTCAGTCTTTTGCTTATTCTTGAAAATCAGATTTTTTATTAAATTTAATTTTCCAGTTTTATAAAATCAGATTTTTTTAATTGATCTTTTTTTTGATTTTTTTTTGTTCTCTGGTTTTTCAATATCTGAATTTTGATTTTTAGTATTTTCTTTCTTTCTTTCTAAACTGGAATTTTATTTTTTTTTTGTTCACTTCAGTTTTGTTAAACCCGTGGTTTTTTTTATTCTTTCACCTTTTAGGTTTGGATTTCTGTGGTGCTACGGTAAGTACCTTTTTTCCAATTTTTTATTATTTTTTTTTTTTATTGTCATTTTTTTCCCTAATGGGTTTTTTTGTTCTATTGCCTCTTAAGTTTGAATCATTCAAGTGTTGTGATGTAATCGAAATAAATTATATTTTATGATTTTTTAGATAGAATAAATATGATTTTTAAAAAAGTAAAATATGAACACTATACCAAGAGATACCAGTATTTCATGTAAAACTATTATAAACTCAGTTGTCTATAAACATTTTTTTCATTTTTTTCATTTTTTTTCATATCTCTTTTCATTATTTACAAATTTCACAAACTCTTCTCTTTAGTTGTTGACGTCACTAATGTAAAACATGTACAATTGTTACATGCATGTGGGCGTATCGCACTATATAAATTTGGAACAATAATACATGTATAAAGTATTTTGTCCTTAAACTTTATTTTTATTTTTTTCATTTTTTTAAAAAATGTCTACCCAATTTTTTTCAAAATTAAGTCAAAATTATATTGAATTATTAAAAGATAATGAATATTATGATGTTACAATTGAAGTCGGTGAAGATCCTAACGTAAAAATATTTCGTGCTCACATGAACATTTTGTGTTATCGTTCTCCATACTTACGACGAAATTTGGCTTCCAATAAAAAGAATAACGACAACTTTTTAGTTCATATTAAATTACCAAATATATCACCAGAAATATTTCAATGTATTTTAGAGTAAGTTATAAGTTTAATATATTTTAATAAGGAATTTCCAATATATATTAAATATTTGTTTTATTATAGATATATTTATGGTGGTATTCTTTCGTTGAACGATCAAGACACTTTAGACTTTCTTAAAATTTTGGCAGCCGCTGATGAACTTTGTCTTTAAGAACTAGTTAATTATTTACAAAAATATTTAATCGAAAATAAGTCTGAGTGGATGAAACAACATTTTGGATTCATTCAACAAATAAGTTCACAATCTAATAATTTATTAGAACTTCGAGAATTTTGTACAAATTTAATGATTCAATCTCCTGAAAAAATATTTAAATCATTTGATTTTACTTCACTTTCTGAACAATCATTAATTTCACTTATTAAAAGGGATGATTTACAAATGAAGGAGGTTGAAGTATGGGAAAATGTTTTAAAATGGGGTCTTGCACAAAATCCAACTCTAATCCCAGATCCTAGTACTTGGACGGATGATGATTTCAAGAAAATGAAAATTACTTTACAAAATTGTATACCTTTAATCAGATTTTTTTGTTTATCAGCTAAAGAATTTTCATATAAAGTTCGACCATATCAAAAACTCTTAAATAATCATCTCTATGAAGATTTATTAAATTTTTATTTAGATCCTGATAGTATATCAACTTATAACATTTTCCTTCCAAGAAAAATAATCTCGACTGAAAATATCGCTCAAATTATTGATTCACAGATAGTTGATTCTAGTATTGTTTCAACTATTACAAGTCGAATTGATAAAACAGCTAAAAGCAAATTTGAATATAAATTTGAATTATTATTAAGAGGAAGCCGGGATGGTTTTACACCTAAAAAATTTCATGAGTTATGTGATGGAAAACATAATACTGTTACTTTTATTAAAATAAAAGGAACAGAAGAAATTATTGGTGGCTATAATCCCCTAAAATGGGAATCTTATGGCAAATGGATTGAAACTAAAGCAACTTTTATTTTTTCTTTTAAAAATAAGAATACTGAAGATACAATTATTAGTAATGTAGAAAATGCGAAATATGCATTATTTTATGACAATGAACATGGTCCATGTTTTGGTAGTGGCATCGCTATATGTGCTTCTAGTGAATATGTGGATTACGATAACATTTCGTGTGGAGATTTTTATTATGAAAAAAGTATAAGAGAAACCGCGAATCAATTTTATATAGAAGATTATGAAGTATTCCAAATCAAAAGGAGATAATCTTTAAATTAGATGATATTATTTAGGTGAAATCTTATAATTTAACTTTTTTACTTTATATACTGTATATAATTTCACTAATCAAATACCATAGATAATAAGGACATATTGGTGAGGAATTAAGAGCACGGGATATGGATTAAGGTGAGGATAAGATTAAGTTAGGGTATTTGATATGGATTAGGATGCGAGAGGGTTAGGTTGAGTTGTTAAATTGAAAAAAATTTGGTTTTTATTAGATAAACGATTTACACAGTACAAGGATGATTGATATGAATTTAAAGACACTTCTTCACCATCTTAAAACATGGTAAATCAAGTAATTAAGATAAAAAAACTTAAGAAGAATTAAAAAAGAGAATAAGTACAGATATGCTGTGTGTAAGTAAGTCTTTGATTCATGAAATCGCCCAAAAAAATCATTATTGATTTGACAAGGAAAACATTATTTTTTTTTTAATATAAATATTTGTTTTTACATAATTAAATTTTTAAAATTCTGAAAGAAATTCATGGAGGGTACTAATTTAAAAAATAATTTTTTAAATTTTAAATAATTAGACTATTTTAATATTGTTCTTTTATTAATTATTAATGATTCTTTTTTAAATATAATAAAATTTTAATCAATTTTTATTTTCACTCACATCACTCACATTATAACATTATGCAATAACTAATTTTCTTATATAACGCAATAAGTTACAGCTAGTCTATATAAATAAAAAAAAATCTTTGGCGTTTTATAGATTACTCTCTAACTAATTTATAATTAGTATAGATCGAATAATTTAAGTTTCAGATATGAATGACCCAAACACAAGTTCTCTTTTACGGAAATATATCAAAAAACTGTTTGATTAATCTCCCAGAATTTATTGAAATTACGGTAATTTTCAGAATTCTTTTAATTGGATTTGTAAATAATTGGTTTAGTTGTATTTTATTTTATTCTTAAATGCAAATACGACTAATTTATTAAATAAAGAAAAGTGTAATAATTAAAAAAAATAATAAATTTAATATATCTTTATTAATTTTTACGGTTTGCAAATAAAATAAATAAACAAATCAAAAAAAAAATTTAGTAAATAAATAAATGTTCATACGCTTTGTTCAATTTATAAATATCTGGTATGAATATTAAAATTTAACTTTTCACCGATGCATAAGCTATTTAAATATTTAGTTATCTGATGATAAGAAATATAACATATGTGAAATTTTTGATGTTTCTTTTGCATCCACGTTAGATTCTAACGATAAGTTCTCTATTTGATTCAATATATTGTTCACAGAAATCTTTTAATCGTTTTGCATCAGAATCTTTTGCTCGGTTTAAAATGTCACACACATTAGTAACACCAATAAGGGAACTATTTATAATTATATCTTCTACTTCATCCTTGAGTTCAACACCATAATAATCCGTTGCCTTTAACAAATCAACCAAAAATGTTAAGTAATAAGTTTCATAACTTTGTCCTGCTGGAATATTGTGTAAGACAGATTTTATTGCTTCTTCAAACGATTTTCCATATAACCATCGGAGCAATACCCGAAAAATTTCTGGGCGAGTATCTCTTATTATAATCTCAGATTTGTCCATTGTTGATTCACTTAAGCCGCTGTAAAACATTCTATCGAAATACGTTGAAGCAGCTATATAATAAAAGTAAATAGATTAAAAAATATTGATAATTAAATACTTTGAACAAAAGTAAAGGCATCATAAAATACCTGAAAGTACATATTTGTTAGCTCCGATTTTTTCTTTACCAATAATGAAAATAACATCATGATATTTATTATTCTGTATTTCAAGTTTATTTTGCAAAGAAATGAACAATTTATCTTTTTGATCGAAAATTGGATTTGGTGATGGTGGTCTTGGTGGTGCTATTTCCGAAGCTCCAGCTAACATTAGTAATTCCTTATATTCTTTTAAGTTATCTTTGACTTTATACATTCCTTCTTTAAGATCTTCTTGTATACCAAATATAAGTTCCCTTCCTGCGACCCAATTTTGTTCATCAAATGGATCGTCTCCATTCAGAAATATTCTCTTTTCAGGTTGATCAATTTTACATCTAATTAACAACTCATAGTCCTTATGTTCAGAAATTTTATTCATTACTTGGTAGATTTCGTTAATTACACCTTTAAGCTCTTTCTTACAATTTCTATTCCAAGATTTTCCTTTTGCCATTTTTTCAATAACAAACCAATGTTCAATAATATTGTCTGCGGATGGATAATCAATTCCTGGATAATGTTCATTGAACGATGAGGTTGGCTCAACATTTTCATCGAATAAAGGACACTGAGTCCAACATATGTTCATATATTTGCGAGAACAAAGATTTTCAAAAGATTCAAATAATGAAACCTCCTTCAGTTTCTTGTAAAATTGGTTTCGAATATTCCTTTCTGTTGGAACAAATTTGATCCTCATAATTTTGTTCAATTGTTTATTATTAAATCTTAAAGCATTTATATTTTCGTATAAATATCGCACCAAGTTTTTTGCTCGTTCTTTAACTACACTTGGATTTATTCCTTGTTTAATCTGTAGTTCAATTTCTTTTGCACATTCAACAAATATACTACAATTCACTTGGTGTTTAAGACCAATTCTTCTAAGAGAGTTTAAACATTGATTGTTGTTTTGTAATTCTGGCGGTAAAATATTGTCAGTGTCCGCAAAAATACTGCGGAACAATGTATTGTTCATGTCGTATAAAGCATCGGCACTTACAAATTCAGTAAGTGATTTGTTAGGTATCACTCCTCGATGTCTGAAATATTCCTCAATTTCTTGATTGTTTAACAATAAAACGGCCTGCAAGAAAGGAATATATTCTCGGGGAGGAGTCTTAAATTTGGTAAAACTTGGTATTATATGATCTTTAACGTAATCTAATTCACTTATAAAGGTAGCACCTAATTTAGTAAGTGTGGTGAAGTCAGATTTACTGTTGCACTTGTATATAGTAGTATTTTTATGAAATGAGAAAAATGGAAGTTCGTATGGAAGAAGGATTCCAGATCTTGCATCAATGAGATTATCTTCGCAAGAATGTATTGGCCATATAGGTAAAGAAACAAGAATATTCGCAAAATCTTCTTGATGTTGCACATGCTCTGTTAAAAATAAAAAAGGTTATAAAAATGCGGAATATTATCGTTTATATCTAAATAAACAATATTCATTTAGTTTACCTATTAACGTATCAATTTCTTCATTAATAAATGTCCTGAGCTTTGCGTAGTCTGAAAGTGATAAATTACTATCCTCAAACAATTGCTCCAAATCCTCCATATTTGTATATGATAAAGCCTTCTCCAAAGAATTAAGAATACTTATAGGCGTGCATTGCACAACACATCTTTTGAGATCTTCGTGAGCATTATCGGGAAATGACATGTCAGTAAAACGTATTTTTAATTTTACTAATATCGAAAATAATCTATGTTGTCCATTTTTAGGTGCGTATAAAAGTGGAGTTGTTATATCAGGTTTTATAAGCATGTTAGAAGGCTTATTCACCGGTAACAGTGGAAATTCTGAAAGTTTCGAATATTCTATATTTTCTTCAGATTTAAATATCATTGACCAAATTTTTTGAAGCCAATTATTATTTATACGTTTTCCATTTGGATCCCATGGAAGACTTATATCTACACTTGGTAATTCGCCTTTTAAAAGATCAAAAATTGCTGAAGCGTCAAATTTTTGTATATTTGTAACTTTGGAAAATTCATCACTGGAAAAGATTTCTAACAGATCTTTCGGTAAATTAATGGAGATAAGTCTAGATCGACCATTCGGAAACAAATCCAAATGTTTTTGTTTACCGATATAGTAAACTTTTTGACCACCAAATTTTCCAACAGAACCATCGCTCAATGGAACCAATGGCAATCTAGTTAGATGCTTAAAAGAATCCTTGTCTTGAAATATAAAGGTAAGCAATTGGAATAATGAATCCTGTGTGTCATCGTTACGGATAATATTATTATTCTTAAATGGTCTCATTAGTTGTAATTCTTTGCATACTAATTTTCCGCTGATAGGTGTATATGGAAAATTTATAGGTTTTTTAGATTTAACAATCTCATCTAATTGTCCCATTTTGTCTTTATCAAGTTTTACAACTTGAATTGGACCTTCCAAGTTAATCAATATATTTGCAATGTTTGTTTTCTCTTCCTCGAGAATTTTAGCCTCTTTCAATGAAATAAAGCGTCCACCTTTAGCTTCAGTCCAAAAAACTTTTTGTTCATTGACGCCTAACTTCCTAATAACATTTAAAGCGTAAATTTTATACATATCCATAATTAAATATTTATCGATGGGCCAAAAATTTTTTGTGGTATGAGGAATGAAATTAGTGCTTTCTTTTAAGTGCCTAGCTTCCTCAAGCTCTACGATATATTCAAATAGTTTAATGTGCAAGTCAGGTAAAACCTCAAGCAGAATATATCTATTCCATTTTGCATCATCACAATCGGATTTCAAAAAATCATTTTCAGACTGTAATCTTGAACTAGATAAAGAAAAGTTTCCGTTCAAATGAACTCCCAAATTGCTAATCATTGATAGAGATAAATAAGAAAATATTTCACCCCTGAGTAATGGAGGATTCGGAAACTGTAATATACAATAAATTAATTAATGATTTAATTAATACTAGATAGTGATTTCAATAGAAATAATTAACTACCGATTCAGCTTTTAATTCATCCAATGATTTTTCATCTGATCGTGCAAGCAAAGAAGCAACTCCTCCTCTTGGCTTTGTTTTAACAAATGATTATTAGTTATTAAATTAAATACTATTAAATTATGAGAAAATTAAATCAACTAATTTACCTTGATTCGTTCTTTTTGCGAAAATTCCTTTAGTTCTTTAAATTCTGATTTGATTTTATTATGTCCTCCTGTGCATATAGCCCATATCTCTGAAACTTTTTGTGGGCACTGGATTATTTCAATATCTAATTGATAAATTTGAGCATCATCAACATTATCAATAACTTTCTGACGTGAATTACGACAACTGTCGATATTATTAATTTTTGCTTGCCATATTAGATTAGGACCTTGTTCCTTCATGTCGTACAAACTACATGATTCAATATTTCTTAAAAAGAGCATTTCTTTATTACTCTCTACATTATAAAACAGTCTAAGGATTTCATTAATTTCAAGTACTTGACTAGAAATTTTACTTCTTTTAGTCCTAAGTGGAAGCCTAAATAAAGTTCCCTTGAATTTTTTTGTAAAATCACAGCCTTCTATAGCCTCATAAGGGTAACACTGATCCGGAAAACGTTTTTTAAATTCTTTTTCAATAAAATTCATTCGAATGCCTTTTAATTTTTTAGGGGGATATCCTGTCGCCGGAAGAAATTTTGCGTGTGGGTCTATAAATGCGATAGTTTCTCCGCTCACAAAGCTTGGTAAATCTGTAATATGAAAAGCACAATTGAATCCTAATCCAAATTTTCCAATTCTAGTATCATTCTCATTTTCATCACGAGATTTTCCTCCAATTCCGAGATTGATCAATGCTTGAAAGTCTTTCTCTGAAAACTCTGCATCATTGTATATCCATATTGCAGGACCTTGTAATTCTTTCATTTCTTCTGTTAATAAAGATTCTTTGCGATTAGTATATTTTCTTCGATCTACTATTACTGAAAATCGCGTGGCTTTTGCATCATCTGCATTCTATATTTGAAGAAAACATAAATATATTTGTTATTCAGCATTATTTTTTGGAATGCTTGCAGTATAACATTATTATTACTTACTTGCAGAAACTCTCTAATTATTTGATTTGGTAAATATTCCTAATTTTGTAGAATGTTTCAAAATTTTAATGCATGTTACAATAAAATAGCTAATGATAAAATTATGAAAAATTACTTTGATAATATTTTTAATTCTTGTCGTTAGTGATTCGTTCTGTTCATATCGATATGGTTCCCAGGAACTATCTCCAGTATCTAAATGTGGATTTAGATTTCTGATGTTAATATTTTATGATGAATAATTGAATAATAAATATAATAAATAAGACATCATTAATTTATCATAATTACCACATATTTTTCCTGTTAAAGTCTGCATATTCAATTTTTTGGCAATATACTGTGATACAAGGGGATGAGCAATCATATACTTGCTTTTCTCTTCGTTATCAAGTCTGTTACCCATGTCATCATAATGAATGTTTCGTAGATCCACAAGTATATTTTCAGTACTTGGAATTAATAACTCATTAAACCTTTCCGGATCGTTTTCTTCCGCCGTGATTCTCATTTGTAATGTTACAATATGATCAAGAACCTGTACGATATTATTTATTTCTTCTATTGATAAATTTTTATTTTCATTCCGTTCAGCCGTATTTCTAATAGCTAAAATTAAATCTTTAATCCCAATCTCATCTCGAATTCCCATAGATTTAAATAAATTTATAAATTCATTATATTCTTTAGGAAGTTTAGTAACTAAGGAGTAGCTCCCCGTAAGTTTATCAGGAAGATCAATAACGACTTCATCAGTTGAACGAAATGTATCTCCACACAAAATCCACGATTTATTTTTCAAATGATTTTTCATATAATTGAATATGGACATGTTATGTTGAAGCGCTAAATTCATATAATTATAAATTGAATTACAGATTAATTCCAATTCCTTTGGTGATTGCCCTCTAGTTACACTTTCACAACAAAATGTTAATTGTTTTAGAACCATATCAACATTAGGATAAATATTCCAATTTAAAAGTTTCAAAAAGTTTACATTCTTAATATTATATTCCAGAATTGGTGCTACAAAACAAACTAGATATTTGTATTTTTGATAATAACAATCCTGAGGTTTCGAAAAGGATTTCTTTCCAGATTCATTCGTGGTCGGGATCCACTCATTTCCTAAAATAGCATTCGAGAATATGGTGCTATCAGTATTTGTTAACTGATCCCAATTTTCATCAATATATTTGAAAAGTTTTTTTGCATTGATATGAATGAAATCTTGAATGTTAGAAGATTGTTTTCTCTTCATAATAGTATTTATTCGAAAAATAATATCATCTGTAGTAAGAGATGTTTTAATTCCTAATTTTTTCAAATTCTCAAGGAACTTATTATCAAAAAATGATCGTGATATTCCATATTTGCCAGCGGGAAAGACTCGTTCATCTTCAAAAAATAGATCATTAACTTTCTTTTTTTCAGGGTCAAACAACTCTATTGGTTTAACCAATGTTGGTTTATAGGGTGTTTTTTGTTGTTTCGACTCCTCAAGTGTACCAGCAGGTACAAAGGACTTACTCCCGAGATCATTCTTCAATCTTTCGTCAAGTATATCTGGAAATCGATTAAAAAGTTTGTCAACCACTATATCTATGTCTTTTGGTGATTGCATTTCAAGAAATGGGATTACACAATTTCGCCAATAATTATTTACATCTAATCGAGGAATTTTAATAATATCTTCCAATATATAACACAAATATTTTGAACTAGTGTCAAGAAATCCTCCCATTTGACTTGGATAGATAATTTTCCCATATGAGTTCACTTCTTCAAAGGGCAAAAGATACCATTTTCTATCTTTAGACATTAATGAGATTGGCGAATTACAACCAATTTCAGTAAAAATTGGAAATCTTTTGATAACTTCAGTAAGTTTAGACTCTACTTGATACTGATACTGTTGCAAAAAAAGAGATAAATATTTAATGAACATTGATATCTCATTATTTTGTAACTGGCAATCTAAATTACTTGGATATGAAGGATTAGCTTGGAACGAAGTCAAGACCGATATAATGTCATCAAGCTTGATAATATACGGATTTATCCTAACGAAAGTAAAGAGATACTATTTAGTTAATTTAAAATATTATAATATTATAATAAAAGCGAAATACTCACTTATCCCATTCAATGTCAAATCCATTGTCAACAAAAACAGCACCAAACTTTTCAAATATTGAAATATAATTATCAAATGAATATTTGCTTGCTTTACTTGAAAAAATTTTTGTAGGAGTTTTTAACTTTCTAAGAGTTGAACGATTTGTTGGTATTAGATGAATATCTTCAAATTTTTTCAAATCCCAATTCCGATACATTAGGATATCCCATAATTGATAAATCCACTCTCGATTATTATTATTTATTTGTATCTCTTCGTAATTTTTATTTCTTTCATAATCCAACGAATATTTAATCATATCGGCAACGGCGGATTCGTCCAAAATTTTGATGTTTAAATTCCATCCAGCTTTTGCATTTTTATACAAACGTTTATACAAATCAGAATCGATTGATTTGTCAATAAACTTATGCAATTGGTTTGTAAATATGAGACGTTCATCATTATTTCTATTATTTCTACAACTTTTATTATTATTATAATCATTTAGATCTGGATCAAGATATACGTTTGAATTTCTTGATCGTGTCAAAGTACCAAGAGTACCATTCGCGAGCGGAATCATTTTGAAGCCTTCTAATGAACTAAACTTTTTATCTTGTAATATGTATTTAAATAATTTTAAGACATCGTTTCTCTCTATTACGTCATGTTCCCATTTAGTATGATTGGATTTTAAATAAGTACGAATAATTTCGGGAGATAAAAGCTTGAGAAAATCTTTGTGTCTAGAATTTTTCAAGGTTCCAGTAATGGAGCGTGAATTTAATATAATAGGAAATCCAATATTTTCAATTGTATCATATAGATCATAATCATAAATAGGCCATTTTTCATCTTCCAAATAGCCATTGTATATCGAAAGCCAATAAAATTCAGATTCCTGAAATGAGGATGTATAATGTAGGGATATATCTACTGTTCCAATGGTATTTGATGTAGAAGGTCCTTTGAACACATGATCCTTAATATCAAGATTTGTTATAACGTTTTGCAATAGATCCTTGCAAAAAATATTACTAAGTACACTTTTTTTGTCGCTATTAACTATCGGCCAGAATTTATTCACATCATTTGGTTGAATATTAGGGACATTGGACGGTAATTCGCGAAGAAATTTCGCCCAAGCTTTGGGTAAAACTTTTTCAAATAAATAATGATTCCATTTAACCTTCAGACGTGCCGATGCATCAACTGCCTAAAATTTCAATGATCAATTATTTAAAAATATATGGGCATGTATGTAATAAGAAAAAGTAATTTGTAAAAATTTTTGAGTATTTACCAAGTCTTCATTATCCGCAGCAGACCATAGAGTACGCCGATTAGTACTAACCTATTAAGCAAATAAAAAAAGATGGTTTAATATAAACATTACAATTAACGTTAAATTGCTTGATTCCTACCGCAAAATATCCATGCACGGAAACTTGAAAGGGCATATTAACTGGAAGAGGTAAAAAGCAAAATAATTTTCCAGTAACATCTAAATCACCAAGAGGTAAAGCTAAACCAACATTTGGTATAAATTTATAGTCCCCAATATTTCTCTTGAATTTTTTCTGAAAATATGCTTCGGCTTCGAGTAAACTATCAAGATAATTTAAAACTAACCAATAATTAGTTTCTTTATGATGTCTTTTCTTTTTTCTAGAGAACGATGCGACATAAGATGATGTATCTAACTGATAATTGCTGTTTAGATTCTTAGAATTCAGTAAATTCATCAAAGGTACAATACTTTCGGATATCAAGCGGCGTTGGTGTTGTACTTCATCAGCATTCTCTAATTGAATTGTGTAAAGTAATTCGAGATTATTAGCGCCCTCTTTCAGCTCATAGAAACGAATACGTTCAATATATTTTAAGAATAATAAGCAATTGATGCTTTCATTCTCGTAAAACTTGTGAAACATGTCCAAGATTTCTTGTGGCTTATAAATTTTTTTAGAAATATCCGATTCATCATTATCACGAAGAGGATAACGAAAGATAGTGCCATTAAATGGGGTTTTAAATGGATTAGAACTAGACTCTTCCGACGGGATTATGAAAGGAGCAAATTGACCAGGATATCTTTTGGCCAAGTTATCTGCAACAAAGTTGAATTTTTTTCCACCTTTATAATACCATTCATGTGGATCAAGAATAACGTACTTATCACCAGTAATGAACGAAGGAGAATCAGTGATATGATAAATTGAATTAAAGCCGACACCCATCACTAAAGATAATAATATATAAAGTTATTAGCATGATATCATTGATGCACAAGATTATAAAAACTTTTTTTTTACCTCCAATTTTATCAAATTGATCATGTTTTTCACTGTCAGAAAGTTTTAACAAGGAATCAAAATCTCTTTCCTCAAAAATTTCACTATTTATTGCTAAAAGCGCAGGACCTTGAAATCTTTGCAATTCTGATTTAAATAATTTATTGGAAGAATACGTATTATGATCCAAAATAAAAATTTGTTCGGTGCTTTTAGCATCATCGGAATTTTGAAGAATTTCACGAAGTACTTGTGAACCATCTGGATATTCTTCAAGAATTCTACGTAAACGACGAGTATAAGGTTCACTTGGTCTAAAATCGGCTCCTTCTGGTTCCATTTTTTTTTGAATTAACAAGTATTTTTGAATTTAATTTGCGTTTAAGTAATAATAAATATTTTATATATTAAATATATTATGTTATAAAAATTCCAGAAAGTTTTCCGATAATGAAATAATAAAGGATGATTTATGAAGTTTCAAAAAATTTTAATTTATCAAAACTTCTGGAATTTTGATCTTTTTAAACGATGTAATATGCTATTTATAATGTTTTTAAAAAATCCGGTGTACAAAAATAGTTTGTGATAAGATAGAACATTTGGAATTCTTTTTTTTTTTTTTTTTTTACTTATTAAAGCTAATAAGGCGCTTTATTTTTGAACAATAACACTTTGTATTCGAATCGCCACATTCATTTTTTTTCTTAATAAAGTTTATAGGCACTTTGTTTTGAACGTTACAGTCTTATCAAAATGAAAGTCATTGTATCCAAGAAAGGCTAGTCATAAGATAACGGGGAGTAATACTCCGTAAATAGCGACGATCATGACTTTATAAGTGGAACCCGTGAAATAGAGCATCTTTTGTAACTATTATGAACTGATACAAATTAAAAAACTAAGGGGTTTCGTATATCGTTTGAGGACTCTAAATTTAAAATTTAAAGTACAATAGCACAGTGCACAATACATACAGTACACTACCAATTTACGCTAAATAAGGAAATAAAAATAATAATTTACAATCAAATCAGGTTGTGAACTTGCCGGTAGATCAATTTGGGTGTGACAAGTAGTCCTGCGCCAATAGATTTACTCATCCATCCGCTGTATAAATATTTGAATTATGTAACATGAAAACGCGTGAAATGTCTGTACCCGATCTGAATGGTATGAAAATGCCGATCTTTTCTGAATAATCATTTTTTTGATTACTAATGTTATAATTTGGTGTTCAGCTGATTGATAAGTTCTACTAATTCTGGTAATTAATAGTTAACATAATAAGTCTAAGTTGCATCTTCAGTGATGGCTGATTGATTACCAATAAATTAATAGATTTTTTAGGATTAAATAAAATATTTTTTCAATTTTCTTTAAGTATATTTATTTTGCATTTATTTAGGTATCATTAACAATATATACAGATTGCGCTGTATAGTTGTCAGAGTCAGATGACCTCAATTTAGTATATTTATCTTACATGATTGGCTATAGTTAGTTTTAGTGTGTTCTCAAAAAGGAAGAAGCAGGTATACTATAGGGTGCGTTTTTATAAAACATGTTATAAAACATGTATATATATATGTATATGAATATCATATCATGTCATGGCATGGCATGTCATGTCATATCATATCATGTCAATTTCAATTGTTATACGAATAGTGGTTGTTTATATTGGTTTCAAAAAAAAAAATATTGATAATGATGATCTACATCTACGGCATCCGCCTATAAAATCTTTTCTTTATGTCTAAGCCAAAAAGAAAGATAATTTATTTACTGTTATATAAAAATTATTAATTTTTTTTTGTTGATGACTAAAATAAATTCACAACTATGATTATATTAGTTAGCACATTTAAAATTGGCGTCAGGACATAAATTAATTACATGTGATTTAAATGATCAACATTCCGAAGGATGACATCGCTACTTTTGTGCACATATATTTTTTGATGTATAAAAATTCTCATCTCTACCCATTAACCAGAATTGTATTGGTCTCAAAAATTGGCGTCAATGATTAACACTTTAAAGGTTGATTTCAATTTATCATAATTTTCATTTTTAATTATTTATAAAAAGAAGTTATTGCTTGTAATGTATTACTATAATTATTGCTTTTAACGTATTATTTAAAAATTATAATTTTTTATTAGTTATTATTATTAATTTGCTACGGTAATCAAAAATTAAAAAAAAAAACAGGATCACAGAACCTGTCAAGTAGCAAATTTTTTTTATTTGTTGATCTGTTTAAAATATTTTTTTTTTTTTTTTATTTAATATATAAGTATTAATAAAAATGAAAATTTGCACTATATAAATAATAAATAATTTATGTGTAATATTTGAAATTATTTGATCGGCAAATTCATGATTTTTTAGTTGCATTTTACTAACATTAATTGGTGATAGTTATTATCAATTACTCACACTTTTTTACTGATATAAATTAATTAACCATACTAAAATACTAATAGTTAGTTGACTCTTTTTTGTTTAGATTAACCATATAATTTATTTTTTAAATTGAATGACATGCATGTGGCCTATTATTTACAAATCTGCGTCTGAAGTTTTTATAGTTAGAACTATTGATCAATACCGGCAGATCCTATTTTGATTACTAATAACTAGCATTTTGCCAATACTAATTAGTAGTAATTAATTTTTTTTTTTTTGGTAAGAATTTAATTCGCATGTCTTATATATAATAACTTTTTTGTTAAAAAACAATACAAACGAAGATTTACAAAGTAAATATTACCATAAAGAAGAATGTAATACAATTTCCAGAATAGGAATGGGAGGGGAACTCTTCCCGCCGATCATTCGGACCAAAAATTTCAGGACGAAAAAAAGGTGGAAGAGTTCAAAAGTGCTTGTGGAAATTGATTGTTTTACGCATTTCAACATCACCAACTGTTTATTCAGTCCTTTCCGAACATTTTGATATGAAGTTTAGAAGAAGTTTGCTAGAAGGTTACAGATTTTTTCAACTAAAAAATTTATTTCTCGTTGTCAACTTAATGGTAGTGACCCAAAAATGCCAAGGAAGGGCTGGGTGTTGCTCCACATAAAGGTTTGTCAGTGGGCGATAATAGAGGCTTGGAAAAATAAAAAGTTGGCCTTTGGAAGCTTCTTGGATAGCTTGGAAATAGTGGTTTCTTGGGAATTTTTCGTCGCAGAATTTTTTTTTGTCGGCGCAGCAAAAATTTTAGCACGCGGATGAAATCTAAAAGTAGAAGCGGAAGATTCAGTGAGGAACCAATTGGATGGTCAGGAAATGAGGTGATTTACTGCGGGACAAATTGCGGCAACAAATTTATCCGAGGAAGGGATCAGCCATATGGGGATCAGCCATATCCGCAGTAATCACATGAGAGAAGATCTAGTAATAAATGTAGACAAACTTTTGTTTTGTTCAAAGAAATACAATAAGCTAACGTCAGGCAAGTCACTGTGAATGGACAGGGTAGTTATGGAAAATGCGCTTTTTGGGAAGATGTACGCTCCACTGCGGGGCCTAGCCAACTCTTCAGGGGAAAACGCTTTTTTCGGGAAGATGGACGTTTCACTGTGGGGCCTAGCCAACTCTGCGGTGATTGTTTTTTTTTGGAATAGATAGTTGTTAGGAAGATTTTTTAGTTTGGTTTAGAATTAGGGTAGTTTTTGTTGTTTCGTTTTTCTTCTGAGAAGTGTGAAATGCGTAAGGAAGGATTTTTATGATTAATAAAGTATCTATGTGTGGGGAGTTTGAGGGAGTTTTATAGCATTGGCACAAACACTTGGTTAAAAATTTGTTAAACCAGGAGTATAAATAGCTAGTGTTAAATTTCGTGTTTCTTTTTTGTTGTTGGGTTTAGTTTTAGTTTTTCTTCTTGTATGTTTTTTGTTTTGTTTTTGTTTGTAGTAGATAGATACTTTATTAGCAGATGCATGTCGTCTAGAACATGATGCGCTGTTTCAGTGATCATCATGTTTTTAATAAAGTTTAAAAAAAAAAAATAATAATAATAATACAATTTCCATGGGATCATTCTTAATAAATAATTTCGCGTAGTGGGTGATTAACATTCTTTATCTTGGTTCTTTTACATTATATCACTATTATACCGGGGTTTATTACCAACAAACCTTCTAGGCTGAGGACGCCTTGTCACAAGCTTTAATTAATAACTGAATGTACAGTACAGAATATCATTATACATATGATTTGTGTTCATGGATTGACAATGCACATAATTTTTAGCCCAACTGCATTAACTTGTTGCCTTAGTACAAATTTTATTAAATTGTATTACATTACGAAATTTTTTTTCCTCCTAAACATCATTTTAAACAACAATGTCTTCGAAATTTTTGACAGAGTTATCTAGTGATTATGAAAAACTTTTTGAAACAGAATTAGTATACGATGTTATCATTTATGCTGGAGAAGAACCAAACGTTAAAGAAATTCATGCTCATTCTAATATTTTGTGTATCAGGTCTCAATATTTTCGTTCCGCATTTTCTAATGAGTGGGCCGAGAAAAATGATGGGAAATTTATTTTAAAGAAACCAAATATTTCGTCTCACTTATTTAATATCATCCTCAGGTAATTTATAATATTAATAATGAAAATTTTCTTTGACATTTATTTATATTTTATATTTATTTATAAATAATTATCTTTTAACAATAGATTTATTTATTGTGGAAATATTGAATTAAAGAATTTACAAGGT